CAGTGCCGCCTCGACCAAACGCACCTCGACCGTTTTCGGCAAGGTGTCCAAATTCCGGCACCTGAAGGGCACGCCCGGCCACAAGTCCACACACATCGAGAACTTGCGCAACTTGAGCCGCCAGATACCGGGCGAATGCAATGGCTTCCATGCCAATCACGAACGTGTGGCGGTGCCGCTTTCGGGGCCCGGCGGCAAGATAGCCATCTTTGAGCTGAGTCGCCCGGGCCGTCTGCCCGACGGTGTTATTCCCTCGCTGGTGAATGGCAGCAACATCATGGACTTCCAGTGGGATCCGTTCGATGCCCAGCGCCTGGCCGTCGCCTGTGACGATGGCATTGTCAAGTTGTGGCACATAGCCGAGGGCGGCCTCAGTGAGCCAACAAATACGCCCGCCGGCGAACTGACCGCCCACCTCGACAAGATCTACTTCATCCGCTTCCACCCGCTGGCCGCCGACGTTCTGCTGACCGCCAGCTACGACATGACCATCAAGCTCTGGGACTTGCGCACCATGACCGAGAAATGCTCGCTATCGGGCCACTCGGACCAGATATTCGACTTTGCCTGGAGCCCATGCGGCCGCCTGGGGGCCACCGTCTGCAAGGATGGCAAAATACGCGTCTACAATCCACGCAAATCGGAAATGCCCATACGCGAGGGCAACGGACCCGTGGGCACCCGAGGGGCACGCATCACCTGGGCCGTCGAGGGACAATACATTGTCTGCACTGGATTCGATAAGTACGATATGTTACCCGAGTATTTTTTCCTGCTACGCTTCTCGTAGTAACCGACCATTTCCAGTTTCCGGAAACAAGTTTTTTCTTAGTGTCTCATCTTTTTTTCAGTTATTTACTTACCAGCAATATTTTAGCTTGTCCAGTATTTTTCTTATCCGCTTAAAAAGAGATGTTGGCATGGCACAGAAATGTTCTGCATTTTTCTAATGCAAACATGATCTACATACATATTTAGAATGCGATCTTAATGCCTTTTCTTAATTTAAATCTGCAGTGGAACAAATACTTTTCCCAAATCCCCTCTTCTCATAATTTAATTTGCATTCCTTCCATACATTTTACAGGGTCTCGGAGCGACAGATCAGCGTGTACAATGCCCAAAAATTGACGGCACCTCTGAACACGGCCAGTCTGGATGTGTCGCCATCGATACTGATTCCGTTCTACGACGAGGATAGCTCCACACTGTTCGTCACGGGCAAGGGCGATTCGACCATCTATTGCTATGAGATCACCGACGAGGAGCCGTACATATGCCCGCTGTCGCATCATCGTTGCACATCGCTGCACCAGGGCCTCAGCTTCCTCACCAAGAACCACTGCGATGTGGCCAGCGTGGAATTCTCCAAAGCCTACAGGCTGACCAACACAACCATCGAGCCGCTCAGCTTCACAGTGCCACGGATCAAGGTAGGTGGAAGAGTCCAGCCTGTGTCCAACCCGAGTCCTCATTTTCGTGTGTGTGTGATTTTTTTCTAGAGCGAACTGTTCCAAGACGACCTCTTTCCACCTACGCGCATCACCTGGAGCGCCACACTCAGTGCCGATGATTGGTTTGCCAGCAACAATGACAAGGCGGCACCCAAAATCAGTCTCAAGCCCGAGGGCATGGAGACCCGTGAGTAGACCATCTTGCTTTGCTGTTTCCGCTGCGCCCAGCTCTTAACTGTCACGACTGTTCTCTCCTGTGTTGCAGTTTCTTCCATACAACAAGTGCCAGTGCAGCATGCAAAGAAATCGTTAGAGCAGCACGCTCAATTTGGCCAAAAGTCCGAGTACGAGATTAACAAACAGCAAGAGGTATAAGCCACATGGCCCTACGACAAAATATCATTGGGATTCATTAACTGAATTATTATGTACATATGTAATGCAGATCCAGAAATCGGTGAGTGCGCGCATGGAGTATACCACAAAACTGGAGCAGGACGATATGGAGGGTGTGGACGAGAACGAGTGGCAGGAGTAGCAGCAACAGAAACAGCCACAGCGACAGCCACGAATTTGGGAGTAATTTTACTATAAATATTGACAGGACACATCAACAGCAAAAATTACATACATACATATATATATGTATATGTATAATATAATAATATATATATATATATATATATATATTTATATAGAACTCTCTCGTAGACAAACCGAAAGCTAAAAAAAAATAACAAATTTAATCCATAAACATGGCCATAAAAAGGTCCTCCAATCCGTGCAGTATATACATTTTGTATGTTGTAAAAGGGGAGGAAAGGTTAGACTATTCCGTACCCTTGGGTTTCCATTCCTTTTCCTTATCCTTCATCCCTTCACCACGCCCTGCAGTTGCTCAAGAATTGCCAAATTACTGATCGTAAGCAATGTTTTTGTTCGGTTCGTTTCGTTTATTTTTGTTTGTTTAAATTACACAGATTATTTGTAATTATGAGTGTTTATTTTGTATGTGTACGTGTGCTACAATATTTAAGTAGTTAGTCCAAAATTAGTTTAGCCTCTTTAAATGACTTACATGACTTATATAATTGATAATCATTTTCGCTTAATGGAAGCCCTCCCGAGCTCTCGCGTCCTTAAGTTTGTGTATATGTTTTGTTTTTTTTTGTTTTTGTTTTTATGTGGCCATATACTAATGTATTTTTATAAGGACTCTTCGAGTATGCCCCTCTCGTTCTGTTTTTTTTTCCCCTCTCTCTCTCTCTCATTCTTTGTCATGTGTATGTGTGTGCGTGCGAACGAGAGGGTCTGGCTGTCTCTTTCATTGTCATATTCTGTCTAGTCTTTGCTCCATCGATCCTCCTCAAACCATATCCCCCACACAGCCCCACAACAGAAATACAACATATAGACTGTAACGTATACTGATAAGGATATAATGATTATTGATAATTGATACGTTTCATATGCGTAAAGACAATTAATTTAAAACAAAAAGCAGAAGAGAGTAAGCGAAACAACAAATGACAAAATCAAACATTTGCAACCAGAGAATCAAAGAAAATTATGAAAAAACTCGAAAATTGTACGATTCCAAAATGTATTAATAACGAAAAGACTTGAAAAACAGATGAACCAGTTAGATACTACACAGATATTATATAAAAATAAATATATATTTATATAATATGTATAAATCTGGCCCATCTCCCTCCCATAACTTCACAAAAAAACAAACAAAAAACAAGGAAAGAAAAAAACGAGTTGCCATAAACATTTTGTGTGTATTATCCTGCGGAGGGGTAGTAGAAAGGCAATAGAAATTTTGTACTTGCAATAGAATATATATACTTATATACAAACATACATATATATATTATACAGACATGACATAAAAATATTGATATATATTTTGTATACCAATCGTAACTAAAAGGCCAACAACTTAGCCTCCCCCATCCCATGGCTAAAACAACGACTGAAAAACAAACAACAACAAAGAAAACAAAACAAAACAAAACAATAGACAAGCGAACAGCAGAGAAAGAGAAAATCTAAGCAGAGACATGCAGCAGACCAACATTAAATTCTCGGGTAATGGGCAATATTGTGGTAGCCGCCGCCTAGTGTGCTAACTGATAAAGGTTCTATTATACAGCAAATTATACATACAATAGCTATAGGCATACATATATATTACTGCATACATATATACACATGCGTCGCAAAGATATAAAGAACCCCCAATGCTGAAAAAATTCCAAATCGAAAGTCCAAGTTGCATTTAAAGTTGCATTTAAAATGCATAGAATATCCTATGGAACGACTGAACAAATGACTCACAAAGTATTCAGACACACTGAACGAACATTCTGATCTCCGCACCAACCACCCCCCCCCCAGATGATGACTCTGGATTGAATCTAACCGGGGAGGAGGGAAGCGGAGAGCACCATTTGATATGATTATAAATGATATTTTGTATTGAAAAACGGATGGGATATAAAGTAAACCTAAACCTAAGCCTAGATCCCCCTCCCCCCATGCAAGCATTTTGTATTTATTAGCCATATTCGATTACGATAAACACACACTCACACACACATATTTACAAGCGTATATATATATATATATATAAATTTAGGAAACTTCTTTCGATTCTCTATGACTCTTTCTCTCTTATTTCTATTACTATTTATATCTATACAAAATATACAAATATATAAAACATGAAGCGATATATGATATGAGGATGAAGGATAATGAATGTCTCAAGTAGAAGTAGAAGACGACTCGAGAGCAGTGATTTTGGCAGGTTGAAGAAGGTAGTAAGCAGCAGCAGCAGCAGCAGCAGCAAAGGGAATCAGAATGAGAATGCAAAATGCATAAAGGCAAATGCAAAGTGCGAATAAAAGCATACACATTATTTATACAATTTATTTTACAGTATGATTATATAATATATCCGCTAAAGCCCCCCAACCGCCCCCCATTAAAATCCAATACTCTAGCCCCTAAGCAATAATTATAATATTAATAATAATAATGAAGGCAAAAATATATTTATATACATAATTCAATAAAAAAGAAAACATACAAAAAACAACCAAATATAATACCATATCGAAACCCAGTAACCAATCCCATTCGATAGCAAGCGACACGCACGTTATGTAGGTTGTTTTTGCTTAAGCGGAGCCTGGGTCTGGAGTCTCTGCGTCCACTCGAGCAATCTATCTTGTTTTTGGATCCTCTTCACTTAAGTTGAAAAAAAAACCTCACCCATTTCTTCAATGAAATAATATCCCAGTGTATAAAGTATATTACGTAAACTCCCTTTTGAATGCCAAAAGCTCAGCCCCTCATCGGCCCTTGGTCACGTGGGCAGCCCCAAGGTTTCACTTGGCCTGGGGGGGTATGGGTTGCCAGGACAACGTCGTTCGTCTCGCTTTGCGCCCCAAGGGACATCGAACAAACAAAAGTTTTCCACTGTCATTGGAGCACAGCAAAAGCAGGAGCAGCAGCAGCAGTGAAGAAGTTTAGTGCCAGACCATACAAAAATCGGTTGCATCGATGAAGTTCCTGCTGAAGAAATGCCTGAGGAAGAAGGCGCCGGAGATGAAGCCGGGTGCCATCCTGGATGCGGTCATCTCACAGTCCTCGGCGACGGCCTGCAAGTGCCTTCTGTACAAGCTGGCCGACTACAAGCGGGGTGAGTGCAAGAGTGCTCCAACGCAATGTGCAGACCTAGCCCATGTTGTGCTCTGCCCTGTTTCAGGCGGAGATCTGATTGATGCCATCAACTCGGGCGGCCTCATCGCCGTGGAGCAGCTGATCCGTGAACAGTTCGGTGTATTCATGTACAACGATGGCAAGGGACAGGTGATCAATCGGGCGGAGTTCCTGCGCTGGAAGTACCGCGACCACACGGAGGTGACCATACCCATCGAGGCATCGCTCTCAATCCACGATCCGCTCGGCAAATGGGAGGACCACAAGGCGTGCTGGCAGATGCAGTACCGCGGCGCCCTCGGGGAGAGTCTGCTCCATGTGCTGATCATCTGCGACTCGAAGATCCATACCAAGCTGGCCCGTGTCCTGTTGCGCGTCTTCCCCAACCTGGCGCTGGACGTGATGGAGGGCGAGGAGTATCTGGGGGCCAGTGCCCTTCATCTGTCGATTGCCTATAGCAACAACGAGCTGGTGGCGGACCTCATCGAGGCGGGTGCGGATATCAATCAGCGGGCCATCGGCAGCTTCTTTCTGCCGCGCGACCAGCAGCGCATGAATCCCGCAAAGAGCACCGACTACGAGGGACTGGCCTACATGGGCGAATATCCGCTGGCATGGGCCGCCTGCTGTGCCAACGAGAGTGTCTACAACCTGCTGGTGGATTGTGGCGCCGATCCGGATGCCCAGGACTCGTTCGGCAACATGATACTGCACATGGTCGTTGTCTGCGACAAGCTGGACATGTTCGGCTATGCCCTGCGCCATCCAAAGACCCCCGCCAAGAATGGCATCGTCAATCAGACGGGTCTCACCCCGCTCACACTCGCCTGCAAGCTGGGCCGGGCCGAGGTCTTTCGCGAAATGTTGGAGCTCTCGGCGCGCGAGTTTTGGCGCTACAGCAACATCACCTGCTCTGGCTATCCACTGAATGCGCTGGACACCCTCCTGCCCGATGGCAGGACGAGTAAGTGGGCGCCAAAGGACACCCATCGACATTCTCTTCATTAATGATGACCTGCCTTCCTCTGTAGATTGGAACTCCGCCCTGTTCATCATTCTAAATGGCACCAAGCCAGAGCACTTGGACATGCTGGACGGCGGAATCATTCAGCGTCTGCTTGAGGAGAAATGGAAGACCTTTGCCCAGAATCAGTTCCTCAAGCGTCTCCTCATCCTATCCACGCATCTGCTCTGCCTTTCCATCTCCGTTTATCTGCGTCCCGCTCACGAGGGTGAGCCCGAGGCAGACTCGGACTCTGCTCTGGCTGCTTCAGCGGCAGCCGCTCTACAGAATCGAGAGCAGCCGGCGGAAGCCAACGATGACTATAAGGCACAGACGGTGGCCAGATATTGCGCGGAGCTGGCCACCATTGCGGGTGTCCTCAGCTATGTGGTCTTCCAGCAGGGCGATGAGATCAAGAATCAGGGACTATCCGCATTCCTCAAGCAGCTGGTAGGTAGCCCATTGGGTTTCCCATTAGCTCCTTCCACTTTGTTAGCCATCATTGCATTTCCTCCGACAGTCGCATGCCCCGGCCAAGGCCATCTTTCTGTTCTCGAATCTGCTGATCCTAGCCTGTATTCCCTTTCGCCTGATTGGCGACACCGACACCGAGGAGGCCATTCTGATCTTTGCGGTGCCCGGCTCCTGGTTTTTGCTGATGTTTTTTGCCGGGTGAGTGTGCCGGATAAATTGAGGATCTTATTTGTCATCTGCTCCTGTGCTCAGCGCCATCCGTTTGACTGGGCCCTTTGTGACGATGATCTACTCTATGATCACCGGCGACATGTTCACCTTCGGCATCATCTACTGCATCGTTCTGTGTGGCTTCTCGCAGGCCTTCTACTTCCTCTACAAGGGACATCCCCAGGTGCAGTCGACGATGTTCAATACGTACACCAGCACCTGGATGGCCCTCTTTCAGACCACTTTGGGTGACTACAATGTGAGTAACAGTCACCCCACCCCACCCTCCATTTCATTCCTCCCTCATTTATGCTTGTTGTTTTCTCCACCTCCTTTGTCCAGTATCCAGACCTCAATCAGACCACATATCCGAATCTCTCAAAGACGGTGTTTGTGATCTTCATGATATTTGTGCCCATCCTGCTGCTGAACATGCTGATCGCCATGATGGGCAACACATACGTGACGGTGATCGAACAGTCCGAGAAGGAGTGGATGAAGCAATGGGCCAAGATCGTTGTCACCCTGGAGCGGGCCGTGCCGCAATCGGATGCCAAGGGCTACCTGGAGGCCTATTCCATACCGCTGGGGCCATCGGATGACTCCGGTTTCGAGGTGCGCGGCGTTATGGTCATCAAGAGCAAGAGCAAGACACGGGCCAAGCAACGCAAGGGAGCCGTCTCCAATTGGAAGGTGAGTGGAGTGGAGTGGAGGGGATGGGGATCCGTCCATCGTTTTACTGTCTCAATTGAAATCCTTTTTATTTTTGGGTGCAAATGTAGCGAGTGGGACGTGTCACGCTTACGGCATTGAAGAAGCGCGGCATGACCGGGGAGGAGATGCGACGTCTCATGTGGGGACGCGCCTCCATCTCCAGCCCCGTCAAGGTCACCAAGCAGAAGCTCAAGGATCCGTACAACACCATGCACACGGACTCGGACTTCACCAATGCGATGGATATGCTCACCTTTGCCAACAATCCGGCATCCAGCAATGGCGTCCAGCTGCGCTCAGCAGCATCGGTGGCCGGTGGAAAGGAGGCGGCGCCTATCGTCCCAGATCCCTTTCGGGAGCTGATCTTAATGTCGGACGAGCGGCCAGAGCCCCATGATCCCCATTACTTTGCGGGACTGCAGCAGCTGGCCAACAAGGCCTTCGATCTGGTCGAGCAGACAATGAAGACACAGCCGCAGACCGCAGGCAAGAACGTGGCCCCTGCACCCATAGCCACTCCGCTTCCAGTGGCTGCCACTGCTGCTGCAGTCACTTCTTTGCCTCCTGCTGCTGCCACTCCGGCAATGCCTGCTGTGGCCATACCATTACCCATCACCACACTGGGCAATCTGTTCCAGGACCCCAAGGACGTTGTGGATCCCAAGAAGCTGGAGGAATTCATGGCCATGTTGGCCGAGGTGGAGACGGAGGAGAGCGACAGTGGGGGGCCCATTCTGGGCAAGCTATCGCTGGCCAAGCGGACGCACAATGCCCTATCCAAGGCGGACATACGGCGGGAGCACGACACGATGGGCCTCGATGGGCACAGTCAGGGCCAGTTTCAGGCCATGTCCTCGGTCTGGGCACCGCCCGGACTGGACGTCAGCACGGTAAGGCATCCCAAACGAGGACGCAAGGTTGGTGTGATTTTGGTGCTTCTTTTTATTGTCAGGGCTTTCACTTTGATGAGGCCGTAGCCGAGGAGGTGCTGACCATTGAGCAGGAGGCCGAGGTGGAGACCGAGGACGGCAATGGGGGCCAGGATAGCGAGGATTTGCCCACCACCGATGAGGTGCATGCCACCATGAAGCAGTTCCATTTGCGCAAGTGCCAGCCGTCGCAGGATGAGGCCGCCCGTCGGGCCAAGAGTGCGCGCGTTCGTCGAAGGAATAAGTGAGTGTATCAGTTACGGCTTGCACGCATCCTGGCATCCTTAATCCAAGCCTTTGCCTTTGCAGAGTCTCGCCGGAACAGAGCGAGGAGGAGGAGCGGCGTCAGCAGCGTGGACGTACGGCTCACGGCCGTAAGATGCCGTCACCGCCCGATCCCCTGGAGCCATGGAGCACCCGTGAGCTGCAGGATATCAACAAGATTCTGGCCAGAAAGTAACAGAGACAGGAATCGTACAGAATCGCATCTGGCACATAGTCCATGCGGCTTATAATTGATTTTAGATCTTACTCTAGTTACACATACAAATACATAATAAACGCCGAGGATGCACGGCCCGCTGCCCACTGCTCACGGCCCACCACACCGCACAAACTGCTTCGGCGCTGTGTGGCCACTGCGGGGCGGGTGTGCATCCTCGGTTGCGGGATCTCTACGTGCTAGCTTTAAAATGGTGGATGTGTTTTGGTGGTGGTTGGAGGAGTGGTGATGAAACCTGCAGCCAAAGCAGTCCACAATATCTCATCCGTTTTGGCATTGTTTTTGGGACCTGCGCCACTCCGGGTGTCTGTCTATATTAACAAGAAAGGTAGGAAGGAAGGAAGGAAGGTAGGTAGGTGCTACCTTCGGTTGGCCCGAAGCATTTGGAAACACACACGGCTAGAACACATGCTGTTGCTAGAGTATGTGCCACCTTGTTTATCTTAGTACCCTCCTCTGCAAGGGTATGCATATAAAATTAAATCTGAAATCATTTCTACACTGAAAAATCTCACCTAAAACTTAGCATCTATCTATGTATAATCATCTGCTATACTCTCGTCTCCGATATGAACTAAATATTTATAATATACATTGTGCTGGCTGACAGGGAATGGCGCAATCAATGCCACTGCCATTGCCATTGCCATTGCCATTGACAATGCCAATGTCAATGCCTCCCAATGCTTCGATATGATTGCTAGTTGTCCAAAAAACCAAAAAAAAAACTAAGCCTCTCCTCTAAATCTGTTTCTCTTTGGAGGGGGGAGACATAGATCTCAGCTCTCTGAGCTTTTACCGAAACCCTCCAGTCAGCGTCCGATCCGTAGACATTGTGGTGATCGTCTGCGCCTGCGTTTGCTGCTGCTGTTGCGACTGCGTTGCCGTCTGCGCACTCGATACCGTTGAGTTGATGTATATGGGCGTGGCATTGCTGACGGTGCTGGAGTTGCTCTGGCTGAGATTAACATGCTGCTGTTGCTGTACCTGCACCTGAATCTGATGCTGCTGCTGGTGATGATGCTGCTGCTGCTGATGATGATGCTGCTGCTGGTGGGTGGCTGTGCCCGCTGGCGAGGCCCCCAGCTGAATGAGCTGCTGTGCCGTCAGCAGGTTTGTGGGTATTATCACCTGCTGCTGTTGGCCATGCTGCTGCCCAGCCAATTGTGCAGCGGCGGCGACTTGTTGCTGCTGCTGCTGCTGTTGTTGCTGCTGCTGTTGCTGCATCTGCAGTCGCAGCAGCTGCAAGTGGCTCGCAGTGATGGCAATCTGAAAGGAAATGATCTGTCAGAGTTTCGCAATTGGCTATATGTTTTCGGATGACTTACGGGTACATTGGATATCTCTCCCGTTGGGCCCACCACCTGCTGAATTATCTGGATTTGTTGCTGTTGCTGCTGCTGTTGTTGTTGCTGCTGTTGCTGCTGGTGATGCTGCTGGGCGAGATTCTGTAGCAGGGCCGTTTGCTGCTGGGCTGCCGTTGCCGGCGCCGGAGTGGCGGTCAACTGCCCATTGGGGCCGGTGGTGAGGATCAGCTGCTGTGTGGGCTGCTGCGCGGCCACAATGTTGAGCCCGAGACTCTGGGACAAGTGATTTTGAGCTGGCTGCTGCTGCACCTGCTGCACTTGCTGGACCAGCTGCGTCCCCTGCTGGCCCGGCAGCGCAATGAAGTACTGCAGCTGCTGGCCGCCCGCATGGCCACCGGCCTGCTGGATGATCTGCACGTGCTGGGGCTGCTGATGCTGCTGCTGTTGCTGGTGTTGATGCTGCTGCAGTTGGGCGGTGAAAATATCCTGATTGACGGTGCTGAAGCCGAGCACCTCGGCTGCGGTCGCAGCGCTGCTGGTGTCCATCTTGATGGTGGCCGTGGCAGAAGGTACAGAGGTGCCGCCCAAACTGTAGTTGCTCGTGGCGGTTGCTGTGGCGGCGGAGGAGGAGGAGGAGCTGTGGCCAACAGAACCGCCGGCAACGGACCCGGCCATACCCGTCGTTGAGCACGCTCCCATTGCATCTTTTCCCTTCTGCGCCGACGAGGGCTTGATCTCCTCCCGCGGCACTATGTCGATGAGGAAATCGAACTGATCGTAGTTCGCTATGGCCTGGGCGATGTCCGAGCGCTGCAGCGTGCGCCGGCGACTCTCCTCGGTGTGCACCCAGGCGTGCATGGTCAGCTCCTGGATGAAGTATTCGCAGGCCTTGGCAAAGAGCAGCGGTGCCTCACCCGCTATCATTTTGGCGTGCTCGTCCAGCTTCATGATCTTCTTGATGCGCGCCAAGGGCAGAACCTGGTGCTTCGCATCCACCTGCCCGATCCCGTGCACATCGCTCACGATGTTCGGCCAGAAGTTTTCGATGGTCGGCGGCGGTTTCCGTGCCACTTGCGTCCGTGTCGCCTTCGTGGCCTTCTCCTTGGGCGTGCTCGGACTGGGACTGGCATTGACCGTCATTGTCATTCCGGGATTCACAATGGTGCAGGCGCTAGACACCAGCGTCGCCTGCATGGGCATCGTCAGCGTGGCCGCGGCAGATTGTTGAAGCTGCTGCTGTTGTTGCTGTTGTTGCTGCTGCTGCTGGTGTTGCTGGGAAAGCTGCTGGGGCAGTTGCTGTTGGGATGTGACAACCACAGCGTTGGGCGTTCGTCGCTGAACCGCCGTCGTTACCTTGCCAGCTGCGTAGGCCTGCGTCATGGGCCCGCTCAGATCCATCTTGATCGGTGTCACGGTGATTGTGTTGTCGAACAGCGTGGTGGAGGCATTGCTGCTATGAAGGAACGAGCACAACACAACAGAAAAGGAACACATCAATTTTATTAGTTGTACAGTGTTCGAAAGTGGGGAGGGGTTTGGGGGTGGACGACACGAAACATACCTGTTTGGCGCCTTATTTGTGCCGCCATTGTTGGTCGCGTACATGGCCAATGTAGCTCACGTTCTCTGCTATGCGGCGGCGGCAATTGGTCGGCTTCAGCGACCGGCTGAAGCTCAGTTTATTTGTTTAATTTGATGCTAGTAATTCGCAAATGCGTACATACACTGCAGTGTGACCGCGGATTTGTCAATAAAATATACCGACTGACCCTCAGAAATATACCGAAAAATACCTTCTCATTTAAAAAATATACTTTTCGGGATTGTTTTACGTCGAAATCGAGTGCAAAGTATATTTACGGTATATAAAAGTATATTTAATCTAGAGATGGCGAGGAGGGTCAGGAGTGGAAATTTATCGTTATCGCAACTCCTTATTGGATGAGTTGGCCATCTCAATTGGGACCAACATAACCTTAAAATGAAATGAAAACAAAGTGGAAAATAAAAGAGCGCCATTATGAATCCTAATCCTATGATTCTCAATAAGGACTGTTTCTGGCAGCTGGTGGGGATCAGCACAGGCCTCAAGATACTACTCATTCCCGCCAAGTAAGTGCCAAAGCCAGTGCCTCCCATCCTCCCACTTTACTTTTAATATTTGCAGCCATTCCACGGACTTTGAGGTACACCGCAATTGGCTGGCTATCACGCATAATCTGCCTCTAAACCGCTGGTATATCGAGGACACAAGCGAATGGACGCTGGACTATCCCCCATTCTTTGCGTATTTCGAATGGCTGCTGTCGCAGGCGGCGCGGTTCGTCGATCCCCGGATGCTAGTTATAGAGAACCTCAACTATGAGTCGAAGGCCACATTGTACTTTCAACGGCTGTCGGTGACGGCCATGGACCTGATCTATGTCCTCGGCGTGCGCAGTTGTATGAGCGCCTTGGGCATAGTCAGAGGCAGCCAGCAGTTCTTTGCCGGCAACCTGCTGCTGCTCCTCAATGTGGGCCTCATTTTCGTCGATCACATACACTTTCAGTACAATGGCTTCATGTTCGGCATACTGCTGCTGAGCATAAGTGCACTGCTACGCCAGCGCTTCCTCTGGAGCGCCTTCGCCTTTGCTGTCCTGCTGAACTTTAAGCACATCTTCCTGTACTTGGCGCCGCCATTCGGCGTGTACTTCCTCAGATTCTACTGCCTGGAGGAGGCCAGCGCAAAGGGTGGCTCCTTCTGGCGATGCCTCTTCAAGCTGTTGGCCGTCGGACTGGCGCCATTTGTGGTCTCCTTCGGCCCGTTCTGGAATCAGCTGCCGCAGGTCATGTCCCGCCTATTCCCCTTCAATCGGGGACTCACCCACGCCTACTGGGCGCCCAACATATGGGCGCTGTACAACACCGCCGACAAGTTGGCCGCCAATGTGCTGAAGACAGCCAGTGCCGGACCATCGACCACATCGGGCCTGGTCCAGCAGATCAATCACTTGGTGCTGCCGACCATCACACCGTCCATGACTTTTGGCCTGACCATCGTCTTCATGCTGCCCATTCTGCTGAAGCTCTTCAAGAGCTCCAAGAAGTAAGCCAGCTTCAGCTTTGATTTTCGTATAGTTTTTTGCATCACTTTTGGTTTTTTTTTTGCTGTGCAGGCAAAGCTCCCTGATGTTCCTACGAGCTGTGGTGCTGTGTGCCTGCTCCTCGTTTATGTTTGGCTGGCATGTCCACGAGAAGGCCATTCTGATGTGCCTGATACCTCTGAGGTGAGTGCCTGAATCCGAGCATTTATGAGATTGTGGCTAACAATTAGTTCCTGCCATAGCCTGCTGACCTTGGTGAACCGTGAGGATGCCAGGTATGCCTACATACTGGGCATTGCCGGTTACTTTTCGCTGTTCCCACTGCTCTTCGACATCGACTTGTTCGTGCCGCGCTATTCCCTGTACTTGTCCTACATGGCCATGCTCTATGGCCAGCTGTATCGCATGTTTGCTGGCTTCAAGGGCTTCCAATGGCTGGAGTGGACATATATGCTGGGATTCATAGCCATACCCCTGTACGAGCACATCATCAGTCGACTGCTGGGCCTTCACATTCGACTGCCCTTCATGCCGCTGCTATTGACGTCCACATACTCGGCCCTCGGTGTCGTCTACTTCTTTGGGCGCTACTATCTGTATGCCATGGGCGTCACCTGGCCAAAGGTGGCTGCTGCCAAGGCCACAGCCACATACTCCTCGTCTGCCAAGCGAAAGCGTAAAACCAAATAAACGAAAGACTAGAATATGAATATTCAATAGAAATCTGCATGGGATCGAGTGGAACGAAGAGACTGTAAGGCGCCTGGCGCAACAGCCAGCTCGGCGCCGCATCTACGAAGCGAGCCAAACAATGGCTCAAACTATTAAGCGGAAAACCGAACCGATCCCGATCCCGATTCCGATCCTAGCGTACAGTACAACGTTGAGCCGCTGCCGCTGCTGCTGCTATTGTCTACGATTCGAGTGGGGTGGCGCGTACCTGTCGCCTTGAGCAGATTATGGCAGGAATATCGCGCGGTCTGCGCCGGCAGTCATAAAACAGGTACGAGCAACAGCCGGTGCCACAGTCGGTGTGTGTCTGTTTTGGAAATTCCATGGAAAACACGCTATCGGCAGTGAATGAATATCAATTGCCTGATCCAGAGCCAGAGCCGGGAGCCATCAGTTGTTAGTTTACCCTCCAGCGGACAGGTTGTCATTATAGCCATGCAGATTCAAATGGAATTCGTGCCCAATCATGGCTACAAGCCATTCAAGATGCCCCAGCAGCAGCAGCAACAGCAGCCGAAGCCGCAGATGGCGGTGGCCAGCAAGTAAGCATCTCTCTTGTGTGTGTGTGTGTGTGCCTCGATTGATTGATTGATTGATACGTTGCAGTCATGTGGAGTCCAGTGGCTGCTTCAGGAAGGGCTCCTATATTGAGCTATCCAATGGAGCGATGCGTCGTGTGGAGGATATTCGCACAGAGGACTTCATTCAGTCGGCGCTGCGCAGCCAGCTCTTCGATCTGCGAGAGGCCACAGTCGTACGCATTGACAGGGGACACCTGTCCACATCCTCCCACGTGACCATCACCTTTAGCTACGACACCCGACACGCCAAGGTGACAGAACTCCCCCCCCATCCCACTGGTTGCTTAATTTAAACCTCCACTCCACTTGCATCGCTTTGCAGGTCAATATGGATGTGCTGCCGGGTCATCCCTTGTTCGTCTATGGCCAGGGCTGGGCCTCCTGCAATCCCCAATTGTCGTTCCAGCTCTACGAGCTCAAGTGTCAGCAGTTGCAGGTCGGCGACATTTGCCTGTCGCTTGTGCCCCGCGAGCAGATGGTGCACCCCATTTCTGCTCCTCCTGCTGCACCACCACCGCCGCCGCCGCCACAAGTGCCCATGAGGCATCAATCCTATCAGATGTATGCAGAGATGGCCAATTTTGTGGCTGCCTACACTCAGCACGTGATTGAGAAATTAAGGAACTAGCTGCCTTTTGGAGCCTTTGCCTTAGACAAATGGCCATGCTTCGATAGATTGCGCGCTATCGCTGCTATGGCCAATTACACATATATTTTAAATGCTTCATTTTTTGTAATAAATTAAATATCAATATTCGCATACACAATTTTACACATTTTCAAAATCAAATCTCGATTACATCGATATGCGATTATTGTGAGTGCTGCACAGCGAAACACAGCTAGCACATTATTATCAGTGTGGTAAAGTGCCGATTGCTGGCGGGCTTTCAAAAAATATTTGTATTGTGACTAAATATGAATCTATTCATCTAATACTTAAACAAACCAGCGTTTTAATAGTCATTTAGTTTCATTACATTTGTTTGCCCGCTTTGGCTGAAAATCAACAATCCAATCCATTGATATATTCCGGTGTGTAAAAATGTGAAGAGGGAAAAGCCATTGCTTGGCGCGCCATTCAAACGAATAGTTCTGATAATGTAAAATATGCAGATTTGGAAGAACCTAAATAAGTTATACAATTATAAAAACGATTTAAAAGGGTTTTCATAATGTTTTATAGCAGTTTTTATAATGTTGAAAACAACAGGGCCGTTTCATGTTACAAAGTTGCCTTCAATTTGTTCAGCATTCATTAAATTGGTTGCCATTCTCTTTCCGCTCATCCGCTGAGCATTCGATTCAATTGAGGTATTCCCTCCTCGCACAGAATACATTTGTGTCCCGCATATGAGTACATACATATAGATTTCGGTGTCTACCTTCGCCTTCAGGTTACGGGCGGGGCGATTCCCCAAAGCCTACAAAAACATAAAAACAACAAAACCTATTCGACCGACCGACTTAATTCAGCAATCAAAAGCAATACAACAGCAACAAGAACGGCCGAAGAAAGAAACTTGAGAGTAAAAACCCTATCATAAAGGAAACTTCCAGACATAAAGTCCCTATAATTACCAACACCCTGAACGTTGTAAATGCATCAAAATTGAACCGCCCCTCGGGGCAATATTTCATGCGGCAGGGCAGGGCAGCAGGCAGCAACAAAAACAAGAAGCACCCAAAAGCCGACGAGGTAAGAGCCAGAGCAGAGCCAAGACGCAGTCGATGCGATGGTGGGTGAGGGTAGCGGGTAGAGGGGGGTCGCTGGTTGCACGATGGAGCGGTAGGCGATCGAACAAAAAAACGTGCATTCAATTTTCAGCTCGGATCTTGGCCTGAATCTTGATCCTAACCCGCTCTCTACACAACAAGAAAAATTGTAAATGAAAAACAAGAGAGAAATTTTAGTTTCAGAGGTCGCATATTTTTAGATGCCTTGCAGATATCTCACCTATGTATGTATTCCCCTTGTATGCAAATATTGCCAAAAATCCTCAAATTCGTTTAAAAAATTAATTTTTGGATAAATAATTCATCCCATTTTTGGTTTCAGGGTTTGTTTTTTTTTTTGCGAGTGTATTTTATGGTCCCCGTTCCTTCCGGCCATATTTTGAGCAATTTGCTGCAATTGAGTTGTTGTCGTTGTCGCCGCATAGTTTTTCCCTCTCATTCTTCTTCCCATGCTGGGGGGAAAATTCCTGAATGACTTTCCACTGCCACTGCCTGTCGCCCTGCCCTGCAACTTTTTACGATGCGGAGCTCTCCTTTGCAGCCATCGAAGATCATATATCATCCCATCCCTGGAAGACACAGGAACTGTGCGCATTAGGCCTCATAATGGATAATAATACCAATGATAATTTCGCACAAAAACGCAAGAAACGAAGCGAGAGACAGAAGGAAGATGCACCATGCACCATGCAGCATGCTGCACTGCACCGGTCTTGCCGCATTGGACACGGCCAAGCACGATGACAACAAGCGGCGATGTGCGGCAAAGGCAAAGTCATGCTCCAGCCACAGACACAGCCACAGTCTGCGTCTTGCACATTCCCTTACAAAGGGTATTTCGACTCCGGCAACAGCCTTGTACCGCAACTAAAGAATCACTTTCGATTCCATTAGGGATATAGATATGTATGTATGTACATACATTCTTGATATACAGTCCTGATTCGTATCTCAGTTTGAAACTCAATAAAAAATTGGATTCCAAATCTTTACGAAATGATTTCCCTGCAAGGGTATTCAATGGCTTTTCTTTAGTTTTCCTCATGGAATTATGGCCTTTACAATCTGCGCTGTAATGAATATTTCGCAGAAGATTCAGCTTCGATCTCTGTTCTGCACCAACCAGAATTCTGAATATTCATTCACAGCAAGTTTTAGTTTATGGATTCGGTTCTCTTAAATCTACGTTTTAGGTTTGGGCTTGTGCAACTTGGGGTTCCGTTTACCTGCACAAAAGTCTTAAAAGTTTTGTGTGATCTTTGTACCTGAGTCATCGAACCACTTCATTTGTTTGCTTCCTCGGCCCGAGCCCCTGATTATGAGTCATGTCCCATGTCCAGTCATCTTCACTCTATTTTACTACTATGCATTCTCTTTCCACACAATAATCTGCTCTTGTCGGCAAAAAGAGAGTCTGTAGACAGAGGAAGGAACAGCAATGGTCACATAAATAAAACCAGAGAAAAAGACTTCAAATAAATAGAACAGATCAATCATCCGCCATTGAAGTACAAAATTAAGAAGCGAACATATCTATGCACAAATGTATGTATTTACATATGTACGCATGCACATTTTAACTGTTTCTAACTGACGCACCTCCATTGCAATTTGATAAAAGTTTTTCCACTGGACCAGGCATAATTATTTAGTAATTTACTATGCCCTTTCCCCCTCATTCATGTGTATAGCCTTGTAATTGGAAACGATTTGATCGATGGCAATAATTTGCATTGCCAAAACAGCAAGAGAGACAGAATGAGATATACATACATACATATGTACATATGTATGTAGATCTATAGAGGAGGGAGAAGAAAACAGACTCATTCCATGATATTTGTCCGATGTTCCAATTCCAGTGCGTGTCTCTGTGTGTGTCTCTGTTTTTTTGCAAGTAAATTGCATCATAAATTTCATGACTCCCAGGACTGGAGACTGCGGACTGCCACTGCCGAGTGCTGCCCGCTGTGGCGCCTCGAGGATTGCGTGTATTTAAATCATATTTCGCTGTATAGCTTCTGTTTCTGTTTCCCTTCGACTGCACTTCTCTTCTGCCTAACCGTTAGCCAACAAGTTTTTTTGTTTCACCAAAGATATTTATTGTCCGTATATTTTGGCATTCGCAGTGATAGGTCGCAACGCTGTTTCTTCTAATTCTGATTTAAATTCTATGCACTATTAAATATTTTTCTTTTGTTACAGCAGAAAACCGCAAGGCCTCCAGGCGCGCTCTCTCTCTCTCTCCTGTTCCAATTCCTGGAACTCTCCAAATGCATTTCAATTGGAAGAGACTGCCAGAGTGATGAGAGTGGGAGAGAGAGCAAATCATTTATAACCGGCAGCTGTTGGAACTGCTTGCCTGCCTGCCTGCTGTTGTTGTTCTCTTACCTGTCCAGCGGGCTAGTTCAAATGCTCTCTTATCACTGGCCCCGCTGGCCGTCGCACTCTTATCATTTAATGAACGCCCCAGCTTCCAGTGTGCCTGCCTGCCAGCCGCCCCACACCCGATTCCATTCCGGGCTTTGGGCGTTATCTTAAGTAAAAGGAAGACCACTCTCCGACTCCCAGCCACAGCCCCAGCCCCCCGGCCCCAGCCCCAGCTGGAGCACCGACTACTCCAACTACTACAATTCCGACTGCAACTGCAGTGCAATGTTAATATAGCGATAATCGTGGATCCATCTACTAATTAATTGACTCTTTGTGTTTTTCATTTTGTTGTTGCTGTTTTTTCTCATTCGCTGATGGAGAACAGGTGAGAATGGATTGTATGGAACAGGCAGACAGCTGACTTTTACCAACATGGAGAAATAGATATAAAATTATTATTTGTATAATTTCATATTTCATATTCAATTGAAAAATTCGCTTGAAGCCGGAAAAGAGTACCATCTACCGATCTGCCAAAAAGCATTCGAAATAAATAATTAATAATAAATAAGTAAATAATAATGAATAATAAATAAATTGGATTAGTTTAATGGGTATTCTCTGGTCGGAATTCAGCATATTGTGCGCTCCTACCTGTTTTGTTTTTGTTCGCTCTGGTTTGCCACCATCTTCGCGCGTCCCCATATCCCCATCTCCATTTGGCGGGACGCCAGTCAGCCAGAGATAGCGATAGCCCATACCCATACCCATACCCTGACCGAGACCGAGACCCAGAGCCAGACTGTTGCGGCATCCATCCAACCAACCATCCCGGCATCTCATCTCTCGCGGCGCTTTCATTTCATTAAAAGCCTGTTTCAATTTTCTGCATTTTAGTGCCTGATGCACTTTGGCATCTCGAGGTAAGGCAAGCCACGCCACTCAGCCATGCGATGCGCCTCCCTCCTCCATCCCTTTTGGCTTTTAGCCGGATTCCCTTTGACGCTGACTCTGGCCATGTGTGTGCTGTGGTGCCTGTGTGCTTTGTGGTCGGCCAACACATATTTGCACTTTGTCTGCTCCCCATATTCCAATATCCCCACATCCTCATTCTCGCTCCATCTGTAATCTTCAATACCCAAAGACTTGAGACCGGGCTCGCGCGGGCTTAACCCCTTAAAGAGTGTTGGGTACTTGCAATACAAAATAGTTTTAGTTGTGACCAAATTATAAATCTTCTTAGATATTTATAAAATGGAACAATATAGTTTGGCTATATAATATATAATTTTCAAGGGAAAATAGCGGTAAGCCACTCACATACATCGTGTATCTTTTGTCATTGAATTCTCGGACAAATCTCGGTGCAATCTAAACGATATAAAAATTATAGTTCAGTTCAATAATTATAATCTGTTGGGCTTTGACTCGGGAGGTTAAAGTAAAGCACAATCTTATTTCGAAAACCACAAAAAAAACATTTTGAATGGCCCTTGGCCATGATGGTTTTTCAGTTTTCTGGGCTTAATGGTGGTGGTGCCATCCATGGGTTAATTGGGCATCGAGTGTGTTGATAATTTTGACATTTAGTCTGTTATCTGAAGTTCATTTCTGCTGAAAATGGAAATCCTGTATGCGTGTCC